TACTACTACTACTCTCTCTCTCTCTCTCTCTCTCTCTCTCTCTCTCTCTCTCTCTCTCTCTCTCTCTCTCTCTCTCTCTCTCTTCCCCAGCACTTTGTCTATACATCTCATGGGCCACTGGCTAGCTCTTATTCAAGGACTTAGTTATGTTTGTGGCCTCTCTCTTGAGCATCCAGATGCTTGTGAATTCATATGGTATGGCTGTTATCATTCTGGTTGAAGAGATTCCGGAGCATCCTTGATGGCGCTATAGAGTCATTTCTTGGACACTCAATTTCCAAGTTAGTCATGCTGGGAATTTGTAGCTTGCTTGTTATATGATGGACATGGCTTAACTGCATTAACAAATTGGGTGCAAAATCAAAGTTCTAGAGTTTTGTAGCAAGGTCCTTCATGTAGAGCTCATAGAATCACATTATCAGTGAGAAGTGAGAGGTCTATCTCAATGTAAACAAATTAGTTTCTAGCTCAATCGAACTTTTATATGTTCACTGTTCTACATATTGTTTTTCTATTATACCATATAAAAATCACCTGTTATTTTGAACAACTATTCACTTGTTTTATAAATCATATGCATTTGTGGTTTTATGTAAGTAAACAGGATATAATATTTACTTTCATGTGAAATTCATGCTTTTAAGCATTTCATAAGCAAGGTATACACACAATCCGTATTTCTAATTTCTATTTCTTTTGTTATCAGCCATCTGTAAGGAAACAGCACAATGCAGGATATAAGCACAAGGTATTTATCTTCCAAGATACTTGTGACATAATTTAGATTATGAAATATTTGAAACTATGCTGTAATTCTATAAACTCTTAAAAAATGTTGTCCATTGTGTCATTACCATTCATTGAAATGATGACGGCAGTGGAGAGAAGTGGACCCAGTACACTGTCATGACCCCAATATTGGATCCCACTCTCTGTCTGGTGTCCATTTTAATGGACATTGTTGACCAAATGGATTATGTTTTGGATTATGGGTGTGTTCCCCTGAATTTTATGCAATCCCTTTTCTAATGCTGACTCCTGAAATCATTTTCAGGCCAATGTACGTTCCTATTATCAGCAATTTGAGGAGCAACAAACTCAAAGTTTGATCGATCAGAAAGTTAAAGAACATCTTGGCCAGACTGCAGCATTCCAACAGCAAGTTGGTGTGGCCTTCAATCAGCATCTTATGTCACTCCAATCGAACCCTCAGAGGCCTCGGATTCCTGTTCTTCCTCCTGTTTTACCAATTCCATCAACTTCTCAAGCACCCATCAATCCATCAATGATGCCAATGCTCAGGCCCCCTCTTCTGCCACCACCAACTTCTGGTGCTCCAGGTATGAAAATGTTTTTACAGCCCGCACCACTTTAATGATGACCTTTCTTTCTTGTTACAGTTATTACCTTTATTCTTTTGTTCTATTTTTTTTTTTGAGGGGCAAAGATGTGTCATGAATATCAGAATATTTGTTATGAGCAATAAACATACAATAATCCACTGGAATATGGCAAATGCAACAGCTAATTGGACCAGCATCCTCCAATGAAATTATAGACAGGGATGGAGGGTGAGCTGGATCTACCATAGGGGAATTGTTTAGTTCTGGTGGGTCCCATGCCTTCTATCATTTCATTGGAAGGTGATGGCCAATGTTCTGTGGTTTTTGTGTATTCCAATGGGCTTATTTCATGGAAAGTGTTCATTTGGACACACTGACACACCCAGACTTGAGGGTACATTTTTGTACAATAGTGAACTCTGTTGTGACTGCCATATGAGCAGAGAATACAATCTATTGTATTCGCCTATACTTCATTTTCCCTGTCCATCTACTGAAAGTGACTTGTATGTGTGCACCTAGTGATACATGCGCTAACCATGATTTCTAAAAAGCTATGTAACTGATACATAGGCACTCTTGTTGCTATCTGATCCACATAGGCGTTCTTGTTGCTGTCTGATCTAGTTCTATATTCGAATGTTCCCTCCTAAGGATATTGTGCATGATATTAAATCTTATTTAGGTATCATTGATTGATATGTAGTCAATTGGAACACAATTACTAAGAACACGGTATAATTCTCTTCTAAGCAGATTGTACAATTAAACAGATTTTTTTTCTTTGAAAAGAATGTTTGCTTGATAAAATGGATTTGTCAGTTTTGTAAAATCATGATTATTGTCTATCAAAGAGGCCAAGCATTCTTCTGACAGCTCATCTGTTCTTTTGATTTATTTATGATTTTTGGGTGTCTTGCTGATTTGGATTCAAAGCATCATCATCAGAGCCTTCTCCCAAACTATTTGGGACCGGCTACACGAATCCTGGTCTGCCATTCTACTCTATCAATGGCTATGTCCTTAGTGAGGCCATAAGTCCCCGTATCTTTTTTCACTACTTCCAACCATGTCCTTTTGGGCCTACCCCTTACTGTTCTTGAGCCTTCTACTTGAACTAACTAGCATCTCTTAACATGTGTTGTACTGGGTTTGCGCTACACATGGGCGAGCCCATCTAAGTCTACTTTCTTTCATCTTGTTGCCTATTGGTGCCACGCCTAAGTTCTTCCAAATATATTCATTTTTAATCTATCCCATCTTGGTTTGAATTCAGATGTGATGCAAAATTAAATGGCTAAAACAAAAAAGGTAAGCTCACATTCATTAAATTTTGATGTTTGGTTTTTCATGGCTGTTGATTCTTTTATTCTTCATTTCAATTATTTTTTGATAAACATTTGATAGAGACTTAATTTCTTTTCGACATTCCTTTTGTTCCTCTACATGATTTCTCTTCTTGAATCTTATATTTTGGTCAGTGATTGAACTCCTTATGTACTAGCACACAACTAGGGGCCTATAAAGAATCATGATTCCTAGGGATAAGAGTGTGAAACCTGTCTTAGTCTTCTTGCTTTTTCGCCATTCAGGACCTGGGTCCTTTTTGTTCCTTGAATCTTTTGGAATAAGTTTTCCCTTAATTTGGAACTGTTTTAGATTGTAAAAACCTGTAGCTATCCAGCAAAGGAGATAAGACACAAATTTAGCAATCCAAAATAATTGTTAACAAATGGCAACAAATCTAGGTGTCTAAGGTTGTTATGGCATGTTTCTCTCTTTTTTTTTTTCTTCTGTGCATAAAGATAAAAGGCAGTTGTGAGCCTGTAGTTTGTTGGAAGGAATAAATTCCCCATGTATGTGACAGTGTTATGTATAACTGTATTTGTCAATTTAAGGTTATCAGGTCCATGAAGATTTAGAGAGCATATCTCTGTGATTATTAATTAGTATGAGTCATGCATGTACTATGAGTGTTCTGTGGAAACCCTGTGAGGTACCATTCACATTTCAGAACGACAGTTCAATTTTTTGATATTTACACAAAGCTTTCAATGAATGAGCTATTTGATATTGTGCATGAATATATGTATCCACCTACATTAACTGTGCCCCAATCATTTTTTGTAAATATTTGGTATAACCCACATTAAGTGGGCCCAAATCATATTTTGCAAATATTTGGTATAGTAATACAAATACATTGTCAATGTTAAAAAAAAGAAAGAAAAAAGAAAAAGACGAAGATAATGTGCGTGAATCTATGCCCCCTGGCTATTTAGGGTGCACTTTTATTTGCCTACTTTGCATTTGAATGTAGGATGAACTTTTATCATGTTCATGCAAGCAGAAGACTATTGCTGATACACGAGAAAGCATGCTTGGCCAAGCACTCAGAGATTAGAGGATTAAGCTGTACATTTGATTTCATTGGTATTTTGGTCAATAACCATTTGAAGGTATTTGGTGCGAGATTATTGTTGGTTTGGTGATGAAAATGTTAGTCAATGCACTTTTAAGTTCAAATCCTCTATAAATAATTGCACTCTTATGTCTCAGGCAGTTCTCTTGGGCCTACTTTTTCTTAGAACCAGAAGTGATTTTTTGTTCAATAACTAGTTGAGTGAATTAAACTTGTATTTTTTTTTTTTTGAAACTGTCAACTGTTGTGTATTAAAAAAGGAAAGGAGTAGGAGGGATAGACCACGAGGCCCACAACCCGGGCCCCTCGGCAAAAAATAGGCTAACCCTATACAAAAAATGATCAGGGCTTATAGCAATCGCCCACTACAGAGATGTACAAAATACCAGAGAGTGGTAGGGTCCTAGAGAGGGGACCAAAACCACCCCTGTGGTGCAAGAAAAGGCCGAGTCTTCGAAAGATCTGTCCCATGCCCTCAAAGGTGTGTGGCCTGTGCGAGTGCTCCATCTCTAGCCAGTTGGTCTCCGAGGGTGTTTGATTCCCTCCAAGTATGCATCCAAGAGACGGGAATATCCCTGCAGATATGATAAACCTCATAAAAGATCTAAGCAAGGTACGAAGGTGGTGGGGCGCGACGAGCAGCCCAAGAAACCTCATCAAACTTGTAGTTTTAATTTGCAATGGGGATATATCATACGCGTAATATTCTTACACAAAAATAAGAGAAGGGTAATCTTTACTCTCTCATGCATTTAAACATTGTTAAATAGCAAATGTAGATATATCCTTTGAGAAGTCTTCTCATTTAAAAACAAGAGCAGGGTGATCTCAACCATCTATCAACAGTTTTAGAATTTGCTGTAACCAAAGTTGCCTTCACCTTACCATCTATCAACTGTTTTAGAATTTGCTGTTGCCAAAGTTGCCTTGACCTTAGTGAAGCTTGAATCACGGTTGATGGATGATCGGGATCAGATTTCTCATGATTTTAATATGAGGGGGAGTTCGTTCTACATACAAAATGTCCTCATTTCTCTTTGAACATGGGGTGCAGATCAGGTGGTGCACTTCTTTAATGGTGCAAATGTAACCTGTCCACACCAGCACATTACTTAATTTTATTTCATTGGCACCAGTTCCCCTTTGAAAAATAATTACGAAATTGCCTCCATTTTCTTAACTGTTCTACTTGAATGCATTTCTGTCCCATTTCCACATTTCTATTAATTTCTTTCACACAATCTTATCATATACAAATATGTGTAGATTAGAGTTATGTGCTTCCCTTCTATTTTGTTCACCGAGAATGGAATGCAAAATTGCTTACTCTTAAACTGCATTTTCAGGGTACAGTGCAGCTCCAGGTATGACTCCACTCTCAGGACCACCAGGAACCGCACCACCAATGCCCCTTAACCCTTTGCCGAGGCCTCTCAATATGCCCAACACAGGGGCTCCAGCTTCTAATGGAGGTGCGTTTCCTAACATGAACGTGCCAACATATCAACAACCAAACTCAGCAGGAACAGCAAGTGGGAGTGGGTTTGAGGGTTTTAACATGCTACCAACAAGCAGTGGCACCCTCCCATCATCTGTAACCTCATCCGCACCATCCCAGGATGGCTATGCTTTTCCCCAGTAGGGCAATCACTCCTACCCATCTCATTAGAAACTCGTTTCTTTTTGCTCCTCTTTTTCAGCATATTTTTGCTTTTGAAGAGGAATTGAAATGTAATACACAAAAATGGGTCTGGATCCCCACTAAGATGCGAATTTAAATCACCTTGAATTGTGAGTTCAGAGTGGTAGCAAGTTTTGGGTCTCGATTTGTAAGAAACAGGAATCGATCTGGTTGTGACTGAGGAACATAAAAGTGGTTTTCATGTATGCTTTTAAGTGATTCATGTTGTTATGGGAAGGGATTTAACATTTCCGAAGTGAACCTCTGTTGTATAAAAACGGCATTGCCCCTGTTAATTAGTACCATGGTTACATAAGTTTACGTTGAAGCATGTGTCGGTTATAATTCTGTTATTGTTACAGTTTTTTTTCTCTCCATAGGAGCTACTGTCACGTTCGTTCAAGGCAAGGTTTAAGAAATCAGATTGGCTACCCGGATCGCCCATCTAGAAAACCGGTTTGAATCGGCGATCTAGATGAGTGAACTAGCCAATAAAATAAGTAAACTAAAAACGAAATAATAAAGAGTAAAAAGAAATATAATAAAAGGGGGGTATTTTAAGGATGAAGTTTCTATAGGGGTTTAAGCTTTATGAAAATAAAATAAAGCCTCAACTCAAATCTTAGAAAGGATTTTCAACAATGGTAATCTATGTAATGAATCTAAAATCAATTTTCAATATCGATAATAAAATTTGAAACATAAAAAAAAAACACAAATCTACATGATCTTTGAACACTTAATTTTAGGGCAAAATGGACGGTTTAGATAATTTGTTACAATATATGCAATTTTTAGAGCTTAAAATCCTTATTTTTTTAACAACTAATACGCTCAAGTTGAGATGATTGATGTAAAGTTTTTCCGATGCTTAGAATTGTAATTTTGGTTGAATTAAGAGGTGAGGCTACAACCCTATCTAACCATTTTCTTTATTTTAATGGGTCAATTCATGGGTATCGAGATGCAGTCTACACCAAGTGTTAGAAAGAAACCGGACGAGCGAAAGTGTTAAAAAGAAAACAGGAGAGGAAACCGGGAGAGTCGGACGATTTTGACGACACGAAATGGCCTATGAAGGCACAACAGTGGCGAGTCGAGCGTGTACAAGTGTCGCCAACACGGGCGAGTCAGGTTTGTACAAGTGTCGTCATGTGTGATAGGTATGTACAAGCATCGCCACGTGTGACGGACCAACCTTTTTATGCACACAATAGATTTTGTTACCAAGGAGTATTTTATGGATGTCAAACTTCTTTAGGTTTTTCGATGTGGGATTTTAGTAAGATATGTAGGCGTAATATAATATATCTCTTTATTATACAAGATAAGACAACTATTGGTGTGTGCTGCAGTCGGTTATCACTTATGTTTCCCTTTCAAGAGGTTTACTTAACAAAAAAGTAAAAGTTATGACAAAAAAATTAAAAATTATCTTGACAAAAAAATAAATTTTTGTCAAAAAATAAAATAAAAGTTACCTTGACAAAAAAAATAAAAGTTATGACAAAAAAAATAAAAATTACATTGAATAAAAAGTAAATTTTTGTGAAAATAAAAATAAAAGTTACCTGGACAAAAAAAAGTTACATCGACAAAAAAAAATAAAAGTTACGACGAAAAAATAAAAGTTTCCTTGACAAAAAAATAAAAATTACTTAGGCAGCATCGTCTTTTTATTTTTCTTGTCAAAAATAAAATAAAAGGTAATACAAGTATTTATTGTCAAAAAATAAATAAAAATTAATACAACTAGTATCATGCTTTTCAAGCATGCACTTGAGCAGCGATTATTTTAGAAACTTTAAAAAACTTGATTTTTTAAAAATTAAAGCATTATTTCGAAAGTTGATATGCATTCTAATAATTTCTATATTGATAACTAAATCTTATATTTTATTTATGAATTTATTTGCATTATAAAATATGTAATTTACTATTTTTTCTTACAATTGTCAATAATACATGTTAAATTAGATGATATTATAAAATATTTTTTATTTGTTATTATTTGTAGGGTGCAGTTGGCATACATATGCATCCGTAGATGTAGAGGTAAGGTGCACCTTCAAATTTTATCACGGTATATAATTTTGATGTAAAATGTCTTAAGATTATCTCAACATCTATTTTTATATCTAATTATAAAGTTTTAAATTTAAAAAATGGTTAAAATCAAGTAGATCTATAAACTTATCTATTTTTTTGTCAAAAAAAATAAAATAAAAGTTACATTGAAAAAAAAAAAAATTATGACAAAAAAAAATTATCTTGACAAAAAAATAAATTTTTTTCAATAAAATAAAATAAAAGTTATCTTGACAAAACAATAAAAGTTATGACAAAACAATAAAAGTTATGACAAAAAAATAAAAGTTACCTTGACAAAAAAGTAAATTTTTGTGAAAAAAAAAAAAAATTACCTTGACAAAAAAATGAAAGTTACCTGAGCAGCACCGTCTTTTTATTTTTCTTGTAAAAAATAAAATAAAAGATAATACAAGTATTTATTGTTAATAAATAAATAAATAATAATACAAGTATTATGCTTTTCAAGCATGCATTTGAACATCGATTATTCTAAAAACCTTAAAAAACTAGATTTTTGAAACCTAAAAAATTAGATTTTTGAAAAATTAAAATGTTATTTCGAAAATTGATACGCATTCTAATAATTTCTACATTGATAACCAAATCTTATATTTTATTTATTAATTTATTTGCATTATAGATTATGTAATTTACTATATTTTTTTTACAGTTGTTAATAATATATTTTAAATTAGATGATATTATAAGATATTTTTTATTTGTTATTATTTGTAAGGTGCAATTGTCCATAACAGTAGAGGTAAGATGCACCATCAAATTTTTTCATGGTATATAATTTTGATGTAAAATATTCTTAGGATTATCTCAAAATCTATTTTTATATCTAATTATAAAATTTTAAATTTAAAAAATGGTTAAAATCAAGTAGATCTATAAACATATGAAAATCTTGAAAATGAACGGTATAAATAATATGTTGTAAAATGCATTATTTTTGAGACTTGAAATCTTTTTATTTTTCATGATCATACATCTCGATGTCAAGATGATCAATCAAAGGGTTTTTCTACATTAAAACTACCTTTTCCGATGGAGTTTTGAGATGCATCCATAGTTCTACATTATAAAATTGCATCCTTAAATAAACTTTTTCCTTATTTATATCGTAAAATAATTATAAAATGTAAACCATCATTTTCAATTTCAATATATAATATTATAGTGAGTTAAGTTGTTATAATCTTTGATTAATGTTCGTTAAGTTGTAATAATTTGGATTTTTTTTAGTGGATTAGAGTTTTCCACCGATTCAAGATTTTGATGGGCATTTTTACATCGATTTAATATATTCTTTATTGTAGTCCAGATATGATTATATACTTCACCCATGATAATTTTATGATTTTTTTTTGTATAATGTAAATTTACTAATTAATATAAATTTATACAAAGAAAGAACATCTCAATACATATTGATGAAAAAAATAAAAATTAATAATGTAGTACCTCCATTTTTATTGGATTCCTAAAAACAATATTTGTAATAAATTTTAACAAGCTTTTCAGATTTTTTAAAAAGTTTAATCTGACCGATTCAATCAATTTTCGATCCAAATCGCCGATTTACCAATCCGAATGGGTTTTTTGAATGCCCGATCCGGGGCACCAATCCGTTTTTTAAACCATTGATCTACACTTTTAGACTGACAATTTGTTCAGTCTTATCATCATAGCTAATGAACATGATGGACACTTAGGTCATGCAAAGGATTCATCTCCACCATCCATCTTAAGAATGGATGGTGGATGTTCTAGCTGTATATTGTATAGCACAGGTGTCATGCTTATTTTCGAATTTTGTCAAAATATGAAAAACTGAATTTTTATACCAGTAGAATCCATCGCTTCAGCAAAAATTCAATTAAATAAAACAGAAATATAGACAGAACAACTGAAGGAGGCATAAAATCCCATAGCCCCTTTTAGCGTTCCTAGCTGATGCTATATCCAAATTCTTCTGTCTTTGCAGAACTCCCTAAAAATAAGAAAAATAACAGAAAAGTCTTAAATCATTTCTGAATGAATAAGAGACACTCATCAAGCATGATGTAATTGCAAGAGAGTACAATTGTCAAAATACAACATCAGATTAAAGATGATACGGAGAAGGCACAAAAACCGACATCATGGATCTTCTTGCAGAGGCAGCAGCTTAAGAGCACCCCAACCAAAGGGGCTGACAGAGTTCAGGAAAGAGCACAGGTAATTAACAAGAGCGAATGTCGCAAAGCAAGAGCCAATTACCACCAATTGCCCTGCTTGCTTCTTCTTTTGAGACAGAGCCACAATACCACCATGGTTCCGATTATTGCTTCGTTACTTCTACAAAGTAAAATTTCTTTTTTGGTCATACACGAGCTGAGCTGATCCCCAAAGCTTCACAAATATGGTGGACCTGGAAATGTATAACGAAAGGAAACTGGCATGGCTCCACTATCCGACCTCGAAAGCTGCTGATTCCCATACTTTGAACCACGATATGGGTCAGCCAAACCTGACGAAACTTGGCGGGGGAAATTTCTTCTAGACAAAGCTGCACTTGTTTCTAGAGTAGAGTTGACATAGGAGTGGTCTGCTGTAGTAGACCCAACAACATAGGAGTGATACGGATTCCTATTATAGAGATCCATACCAGTAGCAGCAGTGGAAGCCACTGGATAAGCCCTGTCGCTACTGTAGGGATCCATACCAGTAGCGGCAGTGGAAGCCACCGGGTAAGCCCCTTCCCTACCATAGGGATCCATGTCAATGGCAGAAGTTGAAGTCCCTTGGTGAGGCCTTTCCCGACTATAGGGATCCATACTAGTAGTAGAAGTGGTAGCCACTGGATGTGGCCTTGACACTAACCCATATGTTCTGTACTCTTTTTCAGTAAGAAAAAGTGGGTCAAGACGATGTCCCTCTTTTGGTCCATTAGTAAGCCTATGTGGCTCCATTTCAGAGCCAGATGGATAGTATTGCCTAACACCCTTGAGATAATGAGGATCTCTAGGTGCAGGCAAGGCTTCTCTCCTGGTTCCCACAGGCTCTAATGGTACAGTGGTTCTTGGAGTGGGCTCAATTGGGTTTCCAGAAGGAGGCGCAAACATGGGTCGCTCGATCACTGTAGCAGGGTGGAAGAGTGCACTAAGCTTATGGACCTGCACATGGAGAATGATAAAAAAAAAGGGAGATTAACGAAAAAGTAGATAGACATAAACCAATGTGAAGTATGCCATGGTCCTATGGATTATAGAAAGATATAGTCTGTAGAGATCCTGACAATCCAATGACATGAGGTTAATGTAGTGGGAAGAGAGTGACCCAATAAAAAACAAGTGATGGTAGATTCTGCTCTCTCTCCATAACCGCCATCATTTTGTTGGATGATGATGACATTGATGGACTATCTGTTTTCAACAGTGGATGGACTACAGAAGGCATCATCATTCACCTGACTAGAAGTGAGCTCGCACTTGAACTTGTTTGATTTGTCGTAGTTGTCTTTGATAGCTCTCTTGAATACACTCTCGGGAAGGGGCTGGCAATCCTTGTGAATTTTAAATCGCATCTATAGGCCTCAACATGCAAATGATTAAATAAGAATAGGAAACAAAAAAAAGAGAACCGTCCAGCAGAAGATGAAACATGAAGCTGATGATTAAACAAGAAGAAGAAATAAAACATAATAAATAAAAAATTTAATAGAGGCAACCTGTGCAGGGAATTCGCCATTGAATGCATTAGGCTCTAGTTTCATCCCACCTGGGGAAGCTGCCTTATAGATACCATACAAGAGCTTGAGGTCAAAGTCGTAGAGGAAGAGCGTAAGACCAGGCTTGATGCTCATCACAAGCTCCTTTCTTCCACTACGAACACCCATGACCTGGTACCGAAAGCAATCAGGCTTGGTCTTACCATTGCACATAAATATCAAACCAGCCATTTTCCGATCCCCATTCTTCTTTCTCTCATCCTGTACCTTAGTTCCATCATCACTCCTCTCTTTGTTATTATCATCCTGTGTCTTAGTCTTATTGTCGTTTGCATTGATAGCGTCAACTTTTGAGTTTTCGGGCTGAGCCTCATGGCCCACTTCTACCACTTTGAGCAAGCTCTTCTTTGGAGTGGTATTCTGTTTGCCATTGTTCTTCTCAATCTTTGGTTCTGGCTTCAATACTTTTGTATCTTGTTTGGCATACCCCACTGCCTTCTTTAGTTTAATCTTGCCCATAGATTGCTCTGTCAGCTACACGTACACTAAAATTTGGCCCTACATGCAGAGGAAATACTTCAGTTATGAGTGCGTATTCCATGGCCATAGGCATAGAAAGCATCAATCAGTATGTAGCTCCTTCCATCTTTCAAGTTTGTCTACCAACATAGGCATCAGCTACTAAAAGAAGCATTACGATATGATTCTTGGGTTGGGATTGCTTTTCATTGTCAACTCTCCAGGAATGTTAGGAGGCAGGAGAGTATAATCTATGTCTCAGAGAAGCTTTTGCACTGCTAAGATTAAACTATTTTTTTCTTTTTTCCTTTTATGAATTTTCTTTATATGAACTGGTTTACCAAATGTCAACACTCTTTTCAAGAATCCTTTTTTTTGTTGAGTTGTCTCTATCTACACCAAGTACAGGAAGAATAATCGTTTACAATCACCTTGTCTCCCTCTCTCTTAATAAATGATTGATGGTACCCTATTACCCAAAATTCCCCACTTGACCAATTATCGTTCTGTGACTTCAAACAATGACAAACCTAATCTGATACTCTTTTTTTTCTGTCGAATTAGCACATTCAACTAATTTGGTATGGCAAAATTGCAAGTATATAGATAGAATTGTTAGTAAGAGGTTTGTACAAGAGTTAGGTATCCAAAAATCCTTCCTTAGGGGGTGCCCTGAGCAAATTGAGATTCAATCTAGAAGCTCCTTTTTTCACATGGGTATCTGCAACAGGCAACTGCCATTCTCCACAAATGCCTGAAAGTGACTTGTAGAGACTAGCATAATTGGAGGATTTCGTTGAAGGTGGAACCCGATCTCCATGGGCAAGGGGATGATTTCTTTGCTCGTTAACAATGTTTTGGGGATCCCCTCCTACCAGGAGGAGGATCCCCAATTTGTGTCAGACATCTTCATACCCATTAGCAGTCCTTGCGCTTCAGAATGTATAGCGTCTGCTGTTACTGGTGTTCAGGGTATGTTAGCAAAGATTCAGCTAAGTTTTCACTGAAAATGGCCCCATAACCTGCCAGGCCAGGATTGCAGAATGAGTTGCCATCAAAATCAACCTTGTCACTACAGCCTTGGGTGGAAATCAATGAGAGGATCTTGTGAGGTTGACCAGGTTATTTCTTACCCATCTAGGGCTCTACCAAGGTTTATGATTTAAAATCTTTGAAATTTTTTGTCCCAAAAATGATGGTAAGTTTGATTCTTTTAGTGAGGGATTTGATGTCGCTCTCGTTGCTATCAAGAATACATTTGTTTCTCTATAACCAAATGACCCAAATGCAGGGAAGAAGTGGGACCCAGCTTAGAAATAAACCAGAGGATGGGGAAGAAGGGGAAAATTCTATTGGAAGAATTTAAAGACAGAAGCTAGCATGACCCATCAAAACGGATTTAGGATGATGCATCAGATGTGAGATGCCATTTTGTAATGGAGGAATTGGAGGTCGATGCTTTCCTCCTGCTCTTTGCACATCGGGCATTTGTTAAATAGGGGAGTACTGTCAAAGCTCTAAGTGAAATCACTAGCCAGCTGAAAGCCTGCACCTTGGGTGGTAGAAGGCTGAACCAGGCCGTAGATGCCATGGAAGGGTGGGGATGGAATGGATATGGCTTTTGCGATACCAAGAATTTACTTGAAGTATAGGGGTTTCATACCACTTTGTCTATCCCTGAGTGTGGTATGAAGTGCCAATCTAAGATCTAGAGCAAAGGCACTAGTTCAGTGACTTTGGGGTGGTCTAAGTTGCACCTAAAAGTCGGCAACCATACTGTTTGTCCCCCTAGAGTCTCATTGCAGTCAGATAGCATTGATTGCTAGTTGGCTGTAATGATGAAGATCTAGGACATTGTAGCTCCAAATACTGTGATCTGGGCCACACAACCTTCCACAACTACACATAATTTCCAGTTTTGACTGCAAAAAGAGCGCAGCCAAAGAAAGCCAGGAAGATGCTCGCAATTGCTTTCCAGGTGCCTGAGGCTCATGAGTTTGCTGCCTCTCTAGATAGCCAATCAGATGCATTGGTTCCATATTTTCTTTTCATCACCTGCTGCCATAAGTGATCTCGGCGGCTTACTTACACCACCACTTGCCCAGAATGGCATGGTAGCAATGTCTCAAAATGGTTACAGAGAGCAATCGGGAACCTCTCTCGGCCTGGGGCTTTGTCGTGGCCCTGGTAAGCATTAGCTTAAACTTCAGACTTTGTAAATAGTTGTTGCAACAATGTCCCCAATTCCTCCTATACGGTTCTGAAGTTAACATTGTTTCTTCTAGGCCTGCGTTAAACTATCGGCTTTGAACAATCTCTTAAAGAGGTTGCCAATTACTTCTCTTACTGGCTGGGGTTATCGTAGGTGTGTTCACCTTCTTGGATTAGGATTATGGTACTGCTTCTCCTCCAGCAGTTGGCTGTCTTGTGAAAGAAAGCCATGTTAAGACCCCCTTCCTTAAGCCATTTAATTCTTGATCTATGGAACCCGAATAATCCTCTTATTTGAAGATCATTTGGAAATCCGATTTTGCAGTTCGTTTCCTTGCTCACTCATCATCGATCAGGTCTTAGGTCTCTATTAACCGGTTCAAGGTTGCTTCTGTGATTTCAGCTAGTAGTAGGTCCTTCTTCGAGGACAGATGACCAAACTGCTCTCAATTATAGGTTTTTTGCCAGAGACTGCACAAATTGGAGGATTTAGGAATCGGGCTTGGTTTCAGAGATAACAAGAATATTAGGGATGTTTTTGACGGCATATTTTGAATGCAGTCCAGGCTAGTATTTTCTAGCAGTGAGAAGGCCTCATTCAGGTCTTCGGGCCTGCAAGGGTGGAATGAGGTTTCTCTGAACTGGGTTCAGGTCTTCTATTCTATCGTTCTTAACCCTATAAATGAGAGTTTTGAGTGCTCTGCATCCTTTGGCACCGAGTTTGGATGTTTTGATGGCATTCCAAGGGCGTTGACGATGTCAGCACCCATCAGTATGGCCATCATAGGTGAAACCTGTGATTCCAAGCATCAAATCTATATCTCCTTATGGCCTTTCTATTCACATAATTTCTTCAGAATCCACTGAAAAGAAAGATTCTTTATCAGAATGGGTGTAACCTAGGAGATGATTTCTCAAGGCTTTGAGGACCAAGGTTGAGAGCTAAGGGGTAGACGTTTGGTTTTATTCATTGGCGGATTTGTTGGGGTGAAGACAAGGAGGAGGGGAGTTGAGGAATTCACCTTTTCAAGATAGCAACATGGGAACATGTGCGATTAACCCACAGGTCCCAATAAAAATCCGCAATTTATTTCATAATGTCTAGGTTGAAGAAGATAGTGATTTTAGTGCAGGATTCATCTAAAACCTACTTCAAAACTCAGAGGATGAGTTTTCTCTAACCTGGCCTGTAGAGGAATTAGAAGTGAAGTTGACCATTATTTTTCTTCGAATCCCAGTTTCCCGGTTTCATTGGAGGTCTAGAAGTTTGACTTGTAAGCTTCCACTTATTTCAATCAATTCATTAGATCTTTGATGTCTTTTGTTCATGTATTTTTTCCCCACAAAGGCTGGATAGAGGTTCCACAAAAACCTTTCTTAACCTATGAAGAGGTTTAGTTGATCAGGTCTCTCGTTTGGGGGTTGGGTTGGTTGTGGTAGCCAAGGTCTAAGGTGAAAGAAGACAATGGAAATCGTCGAGTTGTGAGGGGGCCATTGATTTGTATTCCAAGTGGGTAAGGGGGTGTTGATGTTCAAGAATGGGTGTTCAAGAGGGTTGGATTGGGAATTATTCTTTGAAAGGGGTATAGAGGTGGAGGATGAATTCCCATAGATGTTTGGAGTGGGCTGGAGAGGAGTTTTGTTGAAGTTATTAAATTTGCAGAGATTGTTGAAATGGGGACAGACAAGGGGGTATAGACGGGGTAGGTTGTTAATAGGGGAAGAGAAGGGAGACTAGAAGAGAGAGGAAGCATGTGGTTTGTGGAGGGAGGGAGAGGAGGAGGTCGGGTCTGTTTGAATTGTACAATCAAGACATTGATGGGACCATGTGTGCAGATCGGATACACTTTGGTTGGGTGCCATTAACAGGGGGCAGCATGGCTTCTTGAGGACCCCCAAGAACTTGAATTGTTGCTTGGACAGTTGGGTATGACTGCGGTGAAATTGTACCCATCCAGATGGGCAACTTGATGGGCCTTCTTTAGTGATAGTGGAGGGAATAGATGAGTTGGTGGCTGGTGAGTTTTGGGTAGAGATGTGTGTGCAAATAGGTTGTCCACATTAGGCAACAATGAGACATTGAGACCGTTGAATTGGGGGGGTATTGATTGCATTCTTGAAGAAATGAGGGAAGATATTTTGGAAGTTTGGTGTGGACGTATGTGGGTCTGGTTTGTGGTAGGGTTGGTAGCGGGATCTAAGATGTGGATGGGGTTGGGAGAAGTTGATGATCCTCATAATGAATTTGCGTGAAAAAGGATTTGAATTTGGGGATCGAGGGTCACACAGACTGGTCTCCATACAGGGATCTAGGGGCTGAATATGGAACGATGGATGGTCAAGATGAAGGGTAGGCCTACATATTTGTATTCGAATTCAAAATATGAATTTGAATGTTCACTTGTGTTTAGGTGAAATTTGAATTTGGAATAAATACAGCCAGGGTAAGTCAGTGAAGTTGATCCTAGAGATATTTCCAATCTAATGTACGCTTAAGGTCCACATGTGATCCATTGGAGACTTTTGACATATTGATGGGTGTCCATTTCTCAGCTTCATCAGCATCCTTCCTCATTCTGTGTTTCTGATTTTTTGGGGACCTCTCATATTACAGCAGTTTTTCCTCAGAAACACAATTTGCCAACCTTCTTTATCATGCTCACCAGATTCCCCGTGGTCATGAGCAGATGTACTTGGCATGGATTTGTGTTGGGCTCTTGCTTTATACAGATTCCAAACAGTTTTGGTGCTCCGAATGATACTCAATCTTTACCTGAATCTTAATAAGGCTATGAAGAGACTATTCGATTTTAGGACTGCAACAGTTCAATGGTCTTAACAAGAATTTGGGCAGAGCCTATTGGAAAAACTCCAATACCGTTCCAGTCTACTTTGATGAAAACCCCAAAAATATTACGTATTTTCAAAACAGAAAACCCCACAAATGTTACCTATTTCCTCTATATTTCATGATGCCATGCAAGGAATACCCTCTACTTTCACTCCAAATTCTATGTAGTTTTCAGGCACCAAGCAAGGGAAACAGGGGCTTAATTCTCATTGCTACTTCTAAATTTCCATATGCAACCAAGAGTTTCAAAGAACAAATTCCCCCTTCACATATATAATGAGTTCAGACCATTACAAATTTACAATGCACATGATTTAGAATATCAAGCTCTATGTAAAAGAGAAGCCTAATATTAGGTTGTTTCAGTCACCTAGTCTCTGGGTATTTGTTGCTAGTACTTTGGGTATGAACGGGCCCATAGAAAGAGGAAAAGATTCAGAAAGCACTTAACATATTCCTAGACAAAGTGCAAATGCAAGCTGGACCAAAACTTGGGTGAAATAGGAAGTGATGGTGATGAAAATGGTGACACACACTACATGATGACCGAAAGGTTAAAAAACCATACGCCAATCATGAGCTTTGTCACTCGCCTATCCGTTTCTGCTGATGATGGGGGACGAATGGAATTAACACAAAGTCTTCAAAGAGATAGAATAGTTTTTAGGATAAACAAAGGACATCGATGTGTTATAGACAAAATTGGTTTTGGCAATTAACTTTTAGTATTTAGATTCAAGTTAAATCTTGTTCCACAAGTGTGGATTAAACTATGAAAATATCATATGAACCCCAAAGTTTCAAATGATCTTGCTTTCAGTGAAACCTATAACCTATTGGGATTAAATGAGAGCAAAATACATCTATTTAGCCCTCCAATAATGTCTGGATTAAAGGTACTCACACTATGGACTATCAGTCCAAATTAAGATGGTTCCTATCATAATGGTGACTTCTCAAGGGGATCACATTAAAACTACGAAGAGAATAAAAAGAAAATACAGAAATAACGACCATTTAAAGAGAGAAAAATATAATACACGTTCAATAAAGACACCCTTACAGCCACAATCATGCACATCATCCATAAAAAGGAAACTTAAAAACCCATTCGCATACCTTGAAAATATTTAATCTCCCAATACTTCCACTCGTTAAAGATAGAAAAATTTCAACTGCAACCCTAAATTTCTCCCAAACAAATACTAAGAAAATACTGGAGTTAAATTAATTAAGCAGCTTATACCAAGAGCTATAGAAGAAAATAATTCACCCACTTACGATAAATCTAAGTTAAAAGTTTAAAATGCATCAAGTTCCCGCAATATACAATAAGTTGAAGAATTCAGAGTTAGTCGAGCTTTGATTACTGCAAATGCTCACAATTCAATCTCAATAAAGAACTGGAAACCGAAAGATTCTGCACCAGAAATCCTAAATGAAAACCCCAGCTCCAATTCTAATTTCAATAAAAAATGCTCACCCCGAAATGGGGAAAGATTGCTGATGCCCTAGAAAACATAAGAGAATTGAAGCCAAAGCAAAAAGCTGGAATCAATTTACCTGTATGTCGGTGTAAGTGGGGTGATGAAGCCCTAGAAATGGGGAAGAGCGAATACGCGGGTAAATAATTCTCCACCAAAAAGTAAGACGAAAGTACGCCTACTTATATTTACAAAAAAAAGCCAAAACGCATGAAGAGTCCTGATCAAATGAACGGTTAGATTCTCTCACATGTTTATACACAGTAGATCTGATGGCGTGATCTTCCGCGCCTTTCCTTGTGGGGCCGTTTTAAAAGTCAGATGATGTCGTATAGATATCTTTTGTCCAGGGAAAATTATAAAATATCCTCAAAAATATACCTTTTATGCATCCAACCCATCTAATTTTTGCTCTTAATTTTTTTTTAAAAATAAACTTTTTAGGCAAATAATCCCAAGAGAAGAAGTTCATGTTTTAAAAACGAAAATGCGCTTTATGTAACACACTGTCGGAGCGCACTTAAACACTGTCAGAGACTCATAGTGCTCCACAGTCGGAGCACACATACACAGTACCAGAACACTGTATTTATATTACCGAAACGCGTGCTTACACAGTGTCGGAGCGTATATCACATTGTCGGAGCACACTTAAACAGTGCTAGAGCCCTGTGACTTAGAATGCTCTACTGTTGGAGTGCACTTATGTAGTGTCGGAGCGCTAATGTTACACTGTCGGAGTGCACTTACGCACTGTCGGAGCGCTGTGTTACACTGTCGGAGCGCTATGTTACACTGTCAGAGTGTACTTACGCACTGTCGGAGCGCTGTGTTACACTGTCGGAGCGCACTTACACATTGCCGGAGCGCGGTGTTACACTGTCGGAACGCTATTACACAACATCGAAGTCCGACACTGTTTAAGGGTGCTGCGACAACGTGCTACGAGAAAGACATTTTTCGTCTAGAAAAATGAACTTTTTCCCTTGGGGGGTATTTGCATAAAAAGTATGTTTTTTGAAAAAAAATTGGGAGCAAAAGTTAACTGGGGTAAGTCGCATAAAAAGTAAAATTTGGGGGTTCTTTTATCATTTACCCTTTTGTCTAACTAAAGGGTGTGGTTTGCGTAAGGTTGTGACCTTAAACAGTAGGTTGTGACCTTAAACAATCCAATTAAGAAACACCTCTAAATTTTATCATAAATGTAATTTTAATATAAATTTTTTTAAAATGGCTTTAGAATCTATTTCCATCTCTAATTATAAAATTTTAAACTCTAAAAATAGTTCAAAGTATATCTAGAAACACATGAAAATTTTGAAAATGACGGTCCAAATAACGTGTTACAGGATACACTATTTTGTAGGCCCGAAATCTTTTTTTTTTTTTTCATATCCATACATCTCTATGTCAAGATGATCAGGGTTTTCCAATATCCAAACAATCTTTTATGACAGATTTTGAGGTGCACCTTTGATTCTACATTTTAAGGTTGCAACCTTATATGAACTTTTTCCCTAACTAAAAAGACAAGCTTTCTATGCTTCCCCTGCAGTATAGAAATTCTATTCTCCCCCTTATCCAACCGTCCATTCTAAATAGAGTGCTAAGATTGCCCCAATCACAATGTCACGTCTCTACACTATTTCATTTTTAATTAATTTTTTATAAATTAGTTTGATACCAAATTTTGGACGTCCATTCTTCTATTAAACTCGCACTAGCGAAAAATATAAAAAAAATATTTTCAATACAATAAAATGACCAAAATACCCCTAAAAATTTCAAGGGGTATTTTGGTTATTATATTTATCAAATAATTATTTTTAATATTTTTATAGGTGCCCCCCAATGAGAAGATGGCACGTAACAAATTTCATATTCATACAATTTGTATAAATAAAAAAAACTAAAAATAAAATACTTTGAGACGTCGGATCTAAGATTAAACAGTGAGTGGCTCTCTTGATCAAAATTAGACGATTGGATGATAGGGGAAGCATAGATCTTCTATGTTGTACGAGAAGCATAGAAACCTTTCCCTAACTAAAATAGACAGTATAAGTTACTTCATGTCGCTTTACAAATACAGTTATGGGAAAGGTTTCAATGCTTCTCTTACATCATAGAAGATTTATGCTTCCCCTATCATCCAATCGTCCAAATTTGATCAAATGAGCCACTCACCATTTGATCTTAGATCCGACGTCTCAGAGTATTTTATTTGTAATTTTTTTATACAATTTTTATGAATATAAAATTTGGTACGTGCCATCTTCTCATTGGGTTGTACCTATAAAAAAAACATTAAAAACATTTTTTCAATAAAATATTATGACCAAAATACCCCTTGAAACTTTTAAGGGTATTTTGGTCATTTTATTTTATTGAGAATATTTTTTTAATATTTTTACAAGTGTGTGTTTGATAGAGGATTGGACACTCAAAATTTGGTGTAAAAAAATTTTATATAAAGAAAATTAAAAAATAAAGCAGACGTGATTGTGATTGGAGCAATCTTGACCCTCCATTTTAATTGCACGTTAGGATAAAGGGAAGCACATACGTTTTATGTTGTAGGAGAAGCATTGAAAGCTTGCCTAAAGTTATTGCCTCGTATGAGCTGGTTATTTGGAAAGCATAACCTAAAATAGTTGCATAAAAAAAAAAACCTTAAATAGTCACAAGCTGCCATGGACAAACTTACAGAAATTCTCGATGTACTCCTGCGGGAACAAAATATATACATGCTCTTTTAGGTGTAATCCCCAGCTACGAGTAATTTTAGAGTCCAAACTTTCTAGAGGTGAGCTCGCAAAAATTAATATATAGATTTTGGGGATTGGTTTAAGAAGGGTGGGGATTTAAACTTTTTCTTAACCTATCACAAGCTCGAGTAAATTAGGTGGGTTGTGCTAAGTAGGTAATCAATATTTTTTTTTTTAAAATCTTAAATAGCCGAACCCAAATAATTAAAAAACGACTGTGATGATGATGATTTTGGAAATGTGGCCTACACAATGGCAACCAATTTTGAGACTGCCAAATCTAAGTGTATAAATGCTTAAAATCGATTGTTTTATAATTTTATTTTTGAAAAAAATCATCAGATCTCTGAAAATCCCACATCAACAAAATCCTAGTGAACGCAAAATTTATTCTCAAAAAAGCCCAATGCACACCCAAATAACAAAATGCGCATTTCCAAAAATAATTCAAATGATTTTGAGTTCCTAAAGAGTTTCCAATGGCAATCCATTTTCCTTTTTGATGACCCTGACAAAAGAAATTGGAAAATTTGAGAAGTCATATCTTAAAAAATTGGAGGTCCTATATATACTCTTGACGAGGGTTCAAAGCTTTGAGGTCCTAAAATTTTTTGTAGGCTCCATGCCATTTCTCATGTAATCTCTTTCACACTCTCTCTCTTAGGAAGTTGATTGGTAAGAATCCGTGTTTACAAAAGCGGATTGGTGACGCAAATCTTCCATCCTGGATCCCGGTCTGGATTGGCAATTCAAATCGTGAATCATCTAAATCGATGATATGAAAAATAAATAAAAATTAAAATAGAGATTTATTGGGTGAGGATTTAAGGTAGACCACAGACCATACTAGATAACCTTAAATAAAAGAAAAATAAAATAAAAATGAGGGTTTTAAAGGAGAATCAGACCCGAACCCATAGCATTCCAAAACCGGATGAATCCCAGCTGATTCTGCATTTGAGATCGGAAATCGTTGAGTTTTAAAACACCGGTCCTAGCCTAGCCCAATTCCTCTTCCCCTCTCTCTCTCTCTCCCTCACTCTATCTCCCGGAGGTATAATCCATGTGACCTTGGAAAATTGTAGATGTACTGTGATAGAGACAAAACTAGACCCATCAAAATAAGATATCACCCAAGTGCTAGCCCCATTCTCCACCACCGTTAATCCACTGATTAGACGGTGATAGACATCTATTATGGTTTATATGGATCACAGCATACTTTCCCTTTGTCTTTAGCGGTCCTTTGCTGGATGATTGTTTGCTTGCTTTTTCTTGTTAGATTGCGTTCCATACTATTCTCACTTCATATCTCTTTAAGATTTTTCTTCAATAGTGAGTTTCACCCTTAATTACTGTTTTTCCATAATCCAGATTTGCCTTAATGGATATCTGTCCATCCAAATCCATAGAAAATATACAACAGTTAGCTTAAAGAAACGTATAGAAATGAATGCAGGAAGTACCTTGAGGTAATCCATTGGGCACAACTGCACAACGTCACCATCAAAACCAGCATATAAAATTTACTCCGGTTATTCTGTGATTTTTACCTCCACCATGAAGTTCTCACAAGTTAATAGTAACAAGCTTTTTGCATGCCCATTGCTTGGCCAAATTTAAATAAACATTTTCACTTCCGCATAAAAATGTAAAATCTACAATATGATTCCCACCCTCCATGATCCCATCAAAAGGAAATGCGCATATTAAAAAGATTCCAATGCTATGAGCCCCTCTGTGCGCCATTATCATGCTTTCTCCACGGATTAAGGCCCTCTTTTGCAGCTTGAGCCTCAGGTGAGGCTTCCCAAGCCCGCTTCTCAGCCTCTAGGACAGTGACCTTATCATCTGAAATTATAAAAGAAAACTCAGAAATAAGAAAAGAAGGAAGAGCCTTCGGCTTAGTTCATCAACCAAATGATATTCGCTTATACACACTAACTTGCATCTTTGTATCCCATAATAGAACGGGAAACAGAGCACGGAATCCATCTCAGAAAGTTCTTGAAGTTGTGGAGTGTCCTTACAACTCTTTTCTTTTTCAATAGATATATCTTTACAATCAATTATATGCATATTTATGAATGTCCTTACCATTGTATACATCTCTCTGAGTGTCTGAGAAGTTTGAAACTATATCACAGTTTTTTATCATAATGTATCACAATATATTGCTAAACTATAACAGTATCACCAATGTATACGACTGACAATAAAACTTAAATCTGGGATCTATAGACACAAACACAGGAACATCACATAGATGTAGGACATGTGCCATGGACTAATATCTCAGGCATTATATCCTTGGCGTTCACATTTTACAATTATTGATACTACACAATGTACTCAGAACTAAGATTAACTATAAATATGCATTGGTAGGGATTGTCCACAAAGAGACCATTTATCTTTATTACAAGGAGGTTACAACTATACCCACTCATTAGATGTCAAATTGGAAGGCTTGGGGTTAGTCACAAAGTCCGAGAATTTTTTAGAACTGTGTCCATTCAATGACAGTTTTACAACTACCTATTTTGAAATTTAATAGAAGAGTAATTGTGACCTCCTTGTACAAAGGTAAATGGTCTCTTTATATACATTTGCTGCATTGGTAATACTAGAAATTAACTCAATGCGGTACGAACCACAAAATTGTAGAGCACCCATGTTTCTCTCTCTACGACCATACATAGACACATTGCAATATATGTTAGCAGTCATCAATGTATCTTATGATCAACAAATAGAAAATTCCTCTTGCAGTGCTTTGGTGATCATGAAACCAACAAGGATTTGAATTCTCAAAAATTCATAGAATCAAGAATACGATTTGAGTTATGAATGGGTGGACATATGTACTCTATTTTGCTGATAACCTTGACAACATTTTCACCTCCACCAAACCAAATTTGGAGCATTGAGTTGTTGACTCATACAGCAGGTAAGTCAATTATCAGCCCCACTTGCCCAAAAGGAGATGTCAAAATCGTGGATCATCTAACAAGATTGAGGTGAATATGGGAGTTCTGGGGCTTGGGATTTCATACCAACTGAGAAGCTGGAATCTTCCTTCGTAATTTGCCTTTAATCAACATTATTGTTGATTGGGAAAGAAATAAGGAAATAAAAGATTAAGAATAATGTGAAGCTTCAAATAAAAGCCCAAATGTTTCAGCATGCACCCAAAGACTCATAAAAGAGGAACACTTCTTAAACTACACAAGCTTTTATAATCACATTAGACTGAGATCCATTTGAGTTATAATAGAACTCTAAGCAGTTTAGCCCTTCTTCATTGTAAAAGATAAACACATAACAAAGATAAACCCTCAAATACTTCTAGCCTAGCACAGAGTATGTCAAGAAATTTTTTCAAACAATCTCAAAAAAATTGATCAGCTTCTTCACAGGCTCCGTGTTTTATCAATTCGTTACAATCCTTGGCAGTCTCTCTTCTCCTTCCACACTTATGATACATCTGTCTGTATTGCTGGTACAACTTGATGTATTCATTTCCACAGATGAATAAATGAATGAATGATAGTTAACTATCAAAATAACTTTGAGGTGTGTAATTATCTCGATTAACAAGTTCTGGGATCAAACTAAAAATGCTTAAAAGAAGAATTACATAAATAAATGACAACAAATAAGCAAGCTAATCAGAAAATCCCCAATGAGAAATCAATAAACAAAGTCTGATGGATCAGTTGCTCTGCCACAAATAGGAATAGAGCCCAAGTACAATTCCATGGACTTTCCTTTTTGAAGTGTAGGTCGAAACCGAGAACTCATTTGCATAAGCTTTTCTGCGCAAATGTCTGTTTTCATGGAATTCAAAGTATTTTCCCTTTTGACTCAGATGCATCAGCTCTAGGTTTTCACCTTTTTTTTTTTAATGGAAGGATAGGGTTTTGCCTTTCTTTATGGATGTTTTTTCTGCCTTTGGATTCCTTCCTTGACAATTTAACATTGTCTATACACCTTGTAGCTGAGATCCACGCGCATTGGCATGGTCGATTACCCACCATTCTCGGATGTTATAGGTCTTAAGATTGTGAATGTGACAGTATTCAAAAACCATGATTTTCAACATGAAATTCCCTTCCACCCACAATAGTCACCTTTAACTACTGCTTTCTAACATGTTAATTTGGGTTCTCTAACCACACTAACCATGGCAACTCAAAGGACGTGATGCAACATTAAACCCATATTAGAGAATCTTCATTTAAAACAATCATTTAAAATTTCATGCAGTTTTATGTGATTGCCGCATACCAATGAAACTGAAGGGGAAGTTCTATAGGACGGTTGTATGACCAGCCATGTTTTATGGGACGGAATGTTGGGCGATCAAGAAACAACATATCCATAGGATGAGCGTAGCTGAGATGAAGATGTTGAGATGGATGAGTAGTAAGACAAGAAATGATAGAATTTGGAATGAATACATACGAGGGAACTTAGGTGAGGCTTCAATAGATGATAAGATGGGGGAAAGTAGACTCACATAGGCCGGCCATGTGCAGCGTAGACCTATTACAACACCAGTTAGGAGGTGAGATTTGGTTCAAATAGAAGGCTTCAAAGTGGCAAGGGGAAGGCCCAAGAGGACATGGATGACGTAGTGAGAAAAGATATGGTGATTTTTGGTCTTACTGAGGGTATGGCCTTGATAGAGAAAAATGGAAGAACATGATTCATGTAGCCGACCCCAAATAGTTGGGATAAACTTGGATGATGATGATGATAATGTTTTAAAACTTCATGCATAATAACAGAAACATGATGGATGCACTCATTGAGACTGTTTGGTGAACAAGACGCCAAAGGGATCTCATAGAACAAAAAGTGCAAGAGTTGGAAACCCTCCTTACTTGCCTCAATTCCAATTTTCCCAGGCAGGACAGAGATAGGCTAGCGTGGGATCCAGCAAATCAGCTAAGTTTACGGTAGCCTCAATGTACAATTACCTATTCACTAGCCCATCCTCTTTGAGTTTGGCTAGGAAGCTTGGTTCACTGCAGCCCCTCCCAAAAATCAAGCTTTTAGCTGGGTTTCGTTGCACAACTCATTGTTGACCAGTTACAGCATAGAGGGATAAAGCCGACCAAATGATGAATCAAGTGCGGAGAGATGAAACAACAGACCACCTATTTCTACATTGTTAAATGGAAACCCAACTGTGGAACTCTTTCCAACAACTTTTCCTCTTTGAGTGGGTACCCCCTGAGCCCATCCAGCAACTATTTAACATGTATTTTCAAGTTCCCTACTTGCTGTATGCCGCCTACTTTGGAAAGCCTCAACATTGGCCCTGGTTTGGACCATTTGGTAGGAGAGAAATAGAAGAGTATTAGAAGGAACAGAATCACACCCTTTAGCTGTAAATGATAGACTCATACCCACTGTTATTGAATGGGTGTCTACTTGATAGGAGTTCACTTCATTCTCCACCTTGGATTTCTAGTTGAACTGGCACTCCATCTTGAGATCCACCCTATTGAGACCCCGAGATCCACACACTTACACCTGAGCCAGGCACCGTCAAGTTCAAGTTTGATGGTTGATCCTGCAGGAATCCGGAGAGTGCAGGCATTGGTGGAGTCTTTAGGGATAGTGCTCACTCAGTACTCTGTACTGTTTTATTTCTTGGGCACCATTGGTAATGCCACACCTGCGATGGATGAATGTAGGGACTTCTGGAAGGGCTAAAAATGGTCCAACAATCATAGGATTCCTATTCGTTTGTGGAGGGAGACTCAATGAATTTTATCAATTGGGCTAAAATATTGTCCCCCTACCCCTGGTCCTTGGAACATGTTTTTTGAAGAGATTAATCAACTATGTGTCTCAGTGCAAATTTCTTTCTCCCACAAGTGGAGAGAGACCGATGCTCTAGCAAACTCCCTGAACAAAGAGTGTGCTAACCGCATAACGATGACTACCCTCACCACATACCATAACAGGATGAAACCATAATTCTCAATACCAGCCTCTTCCATGCCCAACCCCCCACACCCCAGGTTACAGTCTCCTGTTATTTTTGTAAGTTTTCTTTTGAGAGGAGTTTTGAGAGGAATTTCTTTGTAATGTGTTATGAGTGGCATCCTCTACTTGTGAATGCATAAAGTTTGAAGTTTGAGTTATATCATACAATACATATGCGAATTCTGAAGTTTTAAGGAGCAATGCAGCGAATGTGATTTGATTGGCTTTGGTCCCAAATGAGAACAGAATGGTCAACCTCATCCTCGAGCAGAAGGCAGTAGCATGCGCTGAGATTCCAAAATCAAGACCTAGAGTTATGGAGCAAGTAGCTATAGGTTACTTTGAAGCTCAAGTTTGCTGGTTCCATTGAGAACACAAGAGCATCGGGAATGGGTGATTTATTTAGGGACAAGCAAAGAAAAATAACTATGAGGTTTGCCGCGCCCACAAGTACATGTGAGTCTACTACGACAAAAGCCATGGACTTGCACACCAATTATCTCCTTTGGTGTGCTTAGAGAAGCTAATGAAGCAAACACCCATGACGTCAATTTTCTTCTATACCACTCATTATGGTCATTCTTAAATAAACTTGACCTCTTGGGCCTCGAATTCGGCCCTGGCCCAAGCCAAGAAACTCGGCCGAGTCGAGTACAGAGCCCAAAAAGCCCTAAAAAATAAAAAAATGTTAATAAATAAAAGAAAAATTGTAAAAGTGAAAAAAAAAACCAAAAACAAATAAAAACCCCAAACAAGCTCAATTTTTTTTATAATATAGGGCTATGACAAGAAAAACCTCACAAATCATTGTAAAAAATCCAAATTACATACATAATTTGAATGGAAAGTTATTGAATCCATATTTTTATATAATTTTTTTATTTTTTTATTTTCTTAATTAGCCCGAGTTTTACCCGGGTGCTCGCCTCGGCAAGGGGCCAACTCTTAGTGCACTCAACTGAGTCCCGGAACACTACTTGATGGAACTCCACTTGATGCACATACCTCTAAGTTGAAGTTAATTAACAGAAAATGAAAAATAAACACAACAATAACATATTATCATCAACATGAACATAAGCTGCGTCACTAAGCAACAACTATTCTATTCCGATAACACACTGAGAAGATGAATAATGCTAATATTTTTCTACTGATTTGCAGTTACATGTTACACTTAACCTGAAATGGAAGATCATACCAGACAATACAAGGATAGATACTTTTTTTACTCTTATAATTAAAAATAATTACAGATTCGGTAATGTTGCCTGTGCAGTCCTTTGTGTCAAACAAAATCACCTTAGATATATTAATTCAAAATAAGAAAAGAAATATTTCAAAAATCATTGCAAACGATTCTAACTTCACAGAGGAAGCAAAGAATGTGGGTTAGTTCCCTAAAAAGGAGTGAAATTAATGATACAATATAGACCGAAATGGTCCATATATTGGTCAACTGCATCATAAAACAGTAGTAGCCATCAGTAAAACCATCTCCAACAATATAAAATCGGCTTACATCCTCATACTCCAGGATTTTCCCAAATATTTTATTTCTCTCAATGTTTTAATTTTCCACTGGGGCAATTCATCCAAAAAAAAAAAAAATTAACCACTGGAAATGATCATAAGCAAGAAAACTAAAATACTAGAAGTAAACAGAACATACAATAAAACCCATCAAAGAAAACTAAAAATAATGAAAGAGAAATGGAGGGTTCTCACACAGAAACCAGTATGAATCATGAATAACTCCATTGAAGCTCCACACAAGGCAGACACCACCGCGATCTTAGCATACCAGTCCCCGAACTTCATCGAGCTTGAAGTGAGTTTTAAGATGTTGTTTTTTATCCTACTTGCGAGGTTCAAGGGAGGTTGAAAGGGAGAAAAAAAAAAAAAAAGGGAGGTGCACGGATGAGGGAGGGAGGGAGGGAGAGAGAGAGAGAGTGAGAATGAGAGCTTTTCTAGGGCTTGGATGGCATAGCTATTAGAAAAAATAAAAATGAAATATATTGTAACTTGGATAATGAATAAAGTGCACAGGCGAGTTAAGAGTCCTTTTCTTTAGACTTGGAGTGGAGTTTATTTGGGATTATAATTGCTGAGAGGGGGTACATGTCCTTTTCTCATAACATAAAGTATCACGTATAATCGTAGTCGTCCATTTTTCTTCCCTTCTAATCTAAACGGTACGACAGTGTTTGTGTAGTATTTGAGCACATACATCATATGGGCGCTATATCATCTGAAATTACGTTACAATAAACAACTTTTGTGGGGAGGTTTGGTGAGTGCTAAAATACCACCAAAGGAGAGAAATGAATGAGATGATCTAAAACAGGTGTATACGCTAGTAAAAAACAGAAGGCCCTAGCCAGTCTTTGTTTAAACCATGATTTTTTAAAAAAAAAATTAGATTTTTTTATATCCATTAAAAACTCCAAGTTTTTCAAAAGATCTTAAAAAAATCACGTTTTTTGAATGAAACTGATATAAATCCGTATTTTATTTTATCTTTTTTCAAAAAATATTTTTTAAAAAAACCTTGTTCTATATAACTTCATTTTTTCATTAACGTAATATTATTGAATTTTGGTTTAGAGAAAAGTACATTAACAATAAGAGTAAATTAATAATCTTGATTTATCAAAAACTTCCATAAAAAATTTCACCAATTAGTTCCCTTAAAAAAAGTACACAAAAAGATACAAGCAATATATTTTCTAAAATATAAGATATCTCAAAATAATTGATAGAGTTAGAAGAAGAGTAACCCCATGAAAAAATATGTATTTCTTGTTAAACCCAAAGTATCTCTATAAAGGGTAAAAATGAGATTTAAAGATCCTAAAGATTTAGGCAGCTAGGAATTCAACGGGAGAATCAAATTTTCTTAAGCATTTTGTTGTTTTTTTTTTTTTTTTATGCATAAAAAAGTTTGATTGATTTTATATTTTTTATTTAATAGGAGTATACAACACGTAAGACTTTGCCAACGTAAAATTTTGCCAAAAATTCTCGTGAATCTAAAATATAATATTTCACAGGTGTATACATTATAACACACTATTTTACATATTTGAGTCTCTGTGTTTTGTTTTAGTTCATTGCAATCCTATAATAAACGTCTTTTTTGTCTTGTTCTTTGAACAATAATCCTAAACCTTGGTTTATATTTCTTTTGTTGTTTTTTCATTTTATGCTCAAGTAAAATTACTATAACTTTTACCCTATCTTTTGGCGATCTGTTTTTTTTACCCAATTTTTTCCTCCGGCTTTTTGATATAGGACCCGCCTGATTACTAATATTTTGATATACCGATATATTATTATTCCCTGACTTGTTAACTGTGAGCCCTACTGCTAGTTCCTCTAGAGTGTGGGATGAGATTTAACATCTGATAAGCTACCATCTTAAAAAAAATACCGGATCCATTGTCAGATATAAATTGTGCTGACAAATGGTTAGGTGATTATCCCCTAAATGAGGTGTTCTCGGAGGTGATTATCCCCTAAATGAGACGTTCTCGGAGGCGTATGCCTTAGCCTCTGACCCCAACTTCACTGTGCACGAAGTTGCTTTGGAGATGGAGCCAAGTCCGCATTTAAAACGTGACTTTTTAAAAAATATAGAGTTTTTTTAAAAAACGTTTAAAACCACGATTTTTTGAAGAGATCGGCAAAAAAACACATTTTTTTACGTAAACATTTAAAGCGTGTCTTATTGATCTTATGAAAATCGGTCCAAAAAAACTTTACCTTTTTTACATGTATTTTTTTTTTCTTTTAAAAGATGAAAACTTTTTTCCGGTTTTATGTAATTGTTATTTCCATGCTTTCTAAAAAGTATATTATTTTCAAAAAATAAATTTCCCTAAAAAATAAATTTTTATCCCCAAATATATTGTTAGGGTTTATTATCTTAGGGTTTATGCTCAAATCCATTGAATAAAATTAAAATAAAATACCATAAAAACCATTGAATAAAAAATCTCCAAAACTTGCTTGACAAAATTCCACTGAAAAATCCATCCAAATTAGGGCTCAAAGACCCAAATTATCACAATTTATTCAACATTTTAAATCCCTAAAACAGAAACTTAAAAAAAAAAAACTAGATTAGAGTTCAATCCCCAAACCTAATTCATGACTGAAAATCTTGGATTAGTGTTTATATCTACCGTCTTCTTTATCTTCTCTGAGATTTTATATCCACCTTATTTCTCTGTTGCCTTTGAATGTCTCTCTCTCAATTTACATTTCTTAATTAAAGATTTTGTGTTTACTTCTCTCTCATTTTATGAAAGATTGTGTTTGCTTCTCTCTCAGTTTGCGTAATGCTCGTCTTCTAGTTGTGTTTCTTTTTGGTCTACTGTGTTTGTTGCTCGTCTGACCAAAAAAAGTGTACATATGTGTGTGATATTTGTTAAAGCATTTAACGAGAAAATTCATATGGTACATTTATCAACAACTTATTATTTTATTTTTTAATTTCTACGTAATTTTATTTTAAACATTTACGCTTTTCACTCCGATTTTTTGAGCCTAATACGATATATTTGCGATATTTTTATATAAAGTATTTTTGCCTATCTGTATTTTTGACCCGATTTTTTCAACCGACTTTTTAAGATAAAAAAAATACATTTCCGATTTCATGGTGAGCCGCCTTGCTAACTATGGGATGGAGTACTGTCTGGTCCATTGTCTTGCATAAAAAAATCAACACGAAGAAGATTATAAAACGTGAAAGCACAGATCGGAATCATGAAATTAGCAGCTCATCCCCAAAACCCCCTTGGTTGGCCAAACCATCAGCCATCTGAACTTACAAAAATACGTATTTGTGCAGGAGAAACTTGGCCTCGGAGATCCCTACCAGTTGTGGCTGATCTCAAGAGCTAAGAGAGGCAAAGAACGGCGTAAAAATGCACAATTGTCGAAATAATCACGAGATCACGCAATTGTGTCAGAACAATTCCTGGTTGTAATTAATCGAAGCCACAACTAAACACAACGCACATACCTATCGAAAAAGACGCACCAGAACAAAATTTAATTTAGATGCAAAACAAAAAATATTTTCTTTACATTTACAGAGCCAAGGAGCAGTAAGCCTCTGTCAAAGCATGTGAAAATCCAAGTGATTTCTGCTTAAGCATAACTCAGGCGCTTTACATAATGGGAACGAAAAGGAAAAGAATACTCACATTACTTCACCTATCAGCACATTCCCCAAAGCATTATTCGAGAGATGTAACATTTTAGTGTACCCCACAACACTCATTTTCGGCTTTGAACCAAATTGGAGGAACGCAGTCTCTTAACATGGTCCTCAAAGAGATGATGCCTGTTAACAAAGTTCTAACAATTAATAACAGAAAGTGCATCGATAACAAACAAGAAGGAATTTCAAGATCAAGTACCACCAACTTTCCAACCTCTCTCTCTCTCTCTCTCTCTCTCTCTCTCTCTACTACTACTACTACTACTACTACTACTACTACTACTACTACTACTACTACTACTACTACTACTACTACTACTACT